TAGCTCATTGATTTAGTGAAATAGGTGTCTAAGGCTATTGTCATTTCACCCAATCAATTTTCTCTGTGTTTTTCATATTGGGAACTTTCTATAAGTCTGTCTTCAATTTGACTCATTCGTTTCTCTCTTGTCTTCATTCTGCTATTAATACCATTTAGTGGCTTTTCCCCTTTTGTTTATTTTACTTTTTAATTTTAAAAATTCCATTTGGTTTTTTTCATATCTTTTCTTTCTTTTTAAAAATCTATTAGTATAATAATAAAAGCATAATATGCTAATTAGACTGGGCGTCCTTCTGGCCATCCTTCCGGACAACCTTCCAAATGAAGCCGGGGCTGGGAGGGAAGCCCGGGTCCTGGGTGGGGAGGGAAGCTGGTGCTAGCAGCCGGGGGAAGGAAGGCCTACTCTTGTATGAATTTCGTGCATCGGCCTCTAGTGAACTCTATCATCTTAGCCATTTGAAGTGCCAAGTATATGCACGTTGTTGTGGAAGAACAGATCTCCACAATTTTTCCAACTCGCAGCACAGAAACTCACACCCAGTGACCAGCCCCATTTCCTCTTCCCCTGTCCTACTTCCTGTCTCTATGAGTCCGATACCTCACATACATGAAATCTACAGGATCTGTCTCTTGGTGACTGGCTTAATCCGCTTAGCATGTCCTCAAGGTTCATGCCTGTAGCACATGTCAGAACTTTCCTTTTCACGGCGGAATCGTATTCCACGGTGTCGATACATTTGGTTTATCCGCTCACCCATCAGTAGACACTGGCTACTTCCAGCTCTTGGCTGTTGTGAATGCTGCTGCTACGAACATGGCTGCACACACACGCCCAAGACCTGCTTTCAGTCCTCCTGGGGCTCTGTCCAGAGGGGGCCTGCCGCATCACATGGTACTAACTGTGTTCTCTCTCTGGCCTGGAGACTCCCTCTTGCACTCACGCCCAGCTCTGCAGCCAATGCCCGGGGGCACCTCACACTCCATGCGCCCCCACTGCTCCCAGCCACGGCCAGTTCCATCCTCTTTGCTGCTCAGGCCCAAACACTGCCATCATCCTTGACTCTCTCATTCCTCTCTCTCGGGTTGTTCTTCAGTCTCTAAATCCAGCTCCTGCCCCCTCTTGATCCTGAATCACTGTCTCCCACTCCGCAACCTGTGCGGTCCTATTAAAACATCAAGTCACACCCTGGCCGGTCTGGCTCATGGATAGAGCGTTGGCCCGAGGACTGAAGGGTCCAGTTCCATTCCAGTCAAGGGCAAGGACCTCGGTGGCAGGCTTGGTGTGTGGGAGGAAACCGATCGATGGTGAGCATTAACAACAACAAAAAACAAACAAAAGAGCAAACAAGCCCTATCCAGTGTGGCTCAGTGGATAGAGCGTCGGCCTGCGGACTGAAGGGTCCCGGGTTCGATTCCAGTCAAGGGCATGTACCTTGGTTGTGGGCACATCTCCAGTAGGGAGTGTGCAGGAGGCAGCTGATCGATGTTTCTCTCTCATCGATGTTTCTAACTCTCTATCCCTCTCCCTTCCTCTCCATAAAAAATCAATAAAATATATTAAAAAAAAAAAAAGACCGAACAAGTGAAGTCACGTCACGTCAGTTTGAAATCTTCCAGGTTGTGTCACATCTCACTGAGGAAAAGCCTGCAGGGCCGACTGTGACCTGGACCCCCCTTCTCCCCCTGCCTCCCCCCAGCTCGCTCACGGCCATCTTAGGCCTCGGCACTTGCTGCTCTTCCTTCTGCACAGAATTCTGTCCCAGGCTGTCCTGGGGCAGGACACGCCTCCTCTGACAGAGGCCTTCCTTGACCATCACGTGTGAACAGCAGCGCCCGCTGCCCAGAGTCCCCGCCGTCTCTCCACACAGCATGCACCTCCTGGCCTGTCTGTCAGTTACTGCCTGTCCCCCTCCCAGAATGCAAGCTCCACGAGGGCACAGATGTGAACGAAGTCCAGGCACCATCCCAGTCTTCCCCCACTCGGTGCTGGCTCATCCTCGGAACGTGCCCGGACGGAGCTTTCACTCGACCTTCATTTGTTAGAGGTCACCCAGAGCCCCGCCGTTGCTCCATCACGGGCTCCAGGGCACCCTGCACAGCCGGCCCCGGAAGTTCAAGCTCTTACTTAAGTAAGGGCCACCAGCCACAGACGGAGGGGTTAAAGCCACAGGGCTGTGCGCTCTGGGGGCCCCGGCCCCCACAGGCCTTGTCTCATCTTCGTCTCCGAGCCCCGCACAGTGCCCACCACAAGGGGGGGCTCTGATACAGGTGTGCTACACGCATGTGCATCCACCCAACACCTGGCCTGAGCCAGGGGCCCCCACGTGCCTCCCCTCAGAGACTCAATACCAGCAGCCACGTGGCTGGGGAAGCCGCGGCCCGCCTTGCTCACTTCCCACCTGCGCCCGTGTGACAGCAAGCTGCCGGCCGCTGTCGTCCTGGAAGGGGCCGCTTGGGTCCCCGCTTGGGTCAGGGAACGGGTAACCATCCCCTAGTGAACTCTGAAGCCAGGCCCGACCCCATGTCTGGAGGAGGTGGGGGCCACTCACAGGAGTATATCAGGGCCGGAAATATGGGCTCATTCCTCTCCTGGGCCGTCTCCACCAGCATCCGCAGCGGCCCCTTGGGGCACAGCACAGCCATGAGATCTGGAAAAACAAAGTTAAAAAGGAGATTTACCCACAAGCACCCCCAAAGAAAGGAACCAGCCCCCTAACACCAGTATGGGGGGGGCGTGCCCAGAGCCCGAGTGTGAGGCTTTCAGGATGGGCCCTGCCGTCCTATCACCCAACCCACGGTCTCCAGCCACAGCCGCCAGCCTGCCCACGGAGCCAAGCGGGCCCGGGAGGGCTCCCTGTGAGCAGGCAAGAGGAGGACCTGGAGTCCCACGTCCCTGGGCCCTAGAACGGAAGAAACAGAACCGGGGAGGCCCTCACACTAATGCCAGTGAGACCGTGGCTAAGGCTCCGGGTGCCCGGCCGTGCCCAGGACTGGCAGTGCGTCGTGCTTCAGTGCGAGGGCTCGGTAAACGTTTGCCTTTAACAAACCGCGTCAGCAGTCGTGAGTCCACGCAGGACAATCTCTCAGAAGGGAGGTTCCCCCGCCCCCCCGCCCCCAAGCCTGCTGGGCACGGGGAGGGAGGCGGGGCCTTTCCACACTGGCCACGTGTGTGCAGCAGCAAGGCTGGCCCTCGACGCTGACCACTGCCTGCCGCAGGCTCTGTCCGCCGGTGCCCACCTACCGTACACAGAGATGGCGCCCAGGATGACCCAGGCGGACCACTCCGGGAGGTACTTGATGAAGACCAAGGCCATGAGCGCGCTGATCATGATGAGGTAGGCCTGCTGCAGCACCAGCGGGCCCTTCCAGTGGATGCACACCATGCCCACCGCCCCGAAGTTCCAGACGACCAGGAACAGGGTGGGGTAGTCCATGGCCACGTTGTAGGTCTTGAGCACTTCCCTGCGGGACCCAAGTCAAGCCCGGGGGCGGGGCAGTCAGCGAGAGGCCAGACCCGGATGCCATTCAACACCCTGCTCCTCAGCCCTCAAGTCCCAGCCTGGTTTCCAGCTCCTGGTGCCACTGACCAGCATTCCCTTC